GCTCAAATCCAGCACCTCAATCCGCGGGTGATACCAGATGAGAGATTCCCCCCTGGGCACACAGAGGACTGGGCGACTTGAAAGGTGCTGAACAGACTGCGCTCTGGCACCACAAGATGCAGAGCCAACCTCAAGAAATGGGGCCACAAAGTGGAATCCACAACATGCGAGTGCCGAGAAGAACAAACCACTGACCACCTGCTGCAATGCAATCTGAGCCCTGCCACATGATGCACCATGGAGGACCTTCTTGCGGCAACACCAGAGGCACTCCAAGTGGTCAGATACTGGTCAAAGGACATTTAATCAACTACCTGAGGCAGGCCGTTCTTCTGTTTCCGCCATCTGCTTCTCTGGCCCTGGAACTCAACAAAAAAGCTCCTGTTTTGTAGCAGATTTCCTATGAAGCCGGCGAGGCAGTCATCCTTCGTGATACTATAAGTTTTTCTCAGGAGAAGGTGATGATTTACAACAGGGGTAGGGAACCTTTGGCCCTCCAGCTGTGGTGGACTTCAACTCCCACAATTCCTTGAGGCTCGGCATTGGGCCAAGGTAAGCCTTTGGGGCGAATGCCGAGCCTCAAGGAATTGTGGGAGTTGAAGTCCACCACAGCTGGAGGGCCAAAGGTTCCCTACCCCTACAATGTCATAAATTGCTGACATGTCTATGAAGACAGATCCTGTAATTGGCTCCCAAGTATTTCTTTATTTATCGTGTCAGGAGCAAACCAAACAGTTGTATTGCATTTTTTAAACAAACAAACAAAACACAAAGTTTGCAAGCTTGGTAGCTGATTAAATGTCCTTTGACCAGTAGCTGGCTACTTGGAGTGCCTCTGGTGTTACTATAAGAAGGTCCTCCGTTGTGCATGTGGCAGGGCTCAAGTTGCATTGCAGCAGGTGGTCTGTGTTTTGCTCTTCTCTACACTCGCATGTTGTGGATTCCACTTTGTGGCCCCATTTCTGCATCTTGTGGTGCCAGAGTGCAGTCTGCCTTCCAAGTCGGACAGTCTTCTGTGTGCCCAGGGTGGAGTCTCTTATTTGGCATCAGCCATTGATTGAGGTTCTGGGGTTGAGCCTGCCACTTTTGGACTCTCGCTTGCTGAGGTGTTCCAGCGAGTGTCTCTGTAGATTTTAGAAAATTATTTCTTGATTTAAGCCGTTGACATACTGGCTGATACCCAAACAGGGGATGAGCTGGAGATGTCAGTGCCTTGGTCCATTCACTGTTGGCTGTCAAGTGATGTTGCGGAGACACGATGGAGCTGTGTTTTGTTTTGAATTGTTTTGGATGGTTCACATCCAGAAAAAAGTGTCAAAAGCCTCACTCTTGGGGTTGAATGGCAATTCCCCACATTAGGTCCCTTGCTCCAAGTATCGGGAGGAAAGCAAGCGGCAACTTTAATCTTCCAAACTTTATTTTGATTTGCAAAAACAACCCCTTTTTTGCAAGGACGACTGCTTTTGTTCCCTCCGAACCGGCTTATCTTTCCATTGGAGGAAAGCCGCTGGAGGAGAGATAAATAAAATGAAATAAAGATATTGACCATGAACCGAGAAGAGGGGGGAAAAGAAAGAAAGAAAGCAAGCCGCGCTCTCGACAGCTTTAAGTGAATTGGATCAGACCCAACGAGGAGAAAAGCAGCTTTTCTCCCGCGAACCTGTCAAAGCAAGAAGGGATTGCTTTGCCATTGTTCTCCAAAACAGGTAGCAGCTCTCTTTCGCTCTCATTTTCCGCTCGGAGCCCAAAGAAGAAGAAAGATGTAGGTCAAAGCATCACAGAAGAGAGGGAGAAAGAGAAAAGAAGGTCACGTTTACTTCTCCCCGCTTTGGTCTAGAAATTTAGAGCTCCAAGGGCCAAAAACGTGAAAATATTTTGGGGGAGAAAGAATGAAAAATTGATTATGACTGTTTCTCTTTTAGAGTATATCGTATCAAGCAACTGAACTCAACATCCCAGTGCTTCTGACTCTCTCCACTGGTGTGGAATTTGCATGACCCCATGAACCAACATTGAGGGAAGTCAAGAGTAGAAAACTGCTTCAAGTGCAAAAGACAAAGAGGGAATACTGTAAAAACACAATGCAGAGCAGAAAAAAAATTGGCGAAAGAAAGCTCTCCATGGACAGTTCCTGGGAAAAATTAAGAGCAAAACAGACAAAGAAAAAACATGGATGTGGCTCACAAACTTTGAAAAAACTTTGAAAAGGGTTCAATACTGTCTCCCATGTTGTTTAACATCTACATGAAGCCGCTGGGTGAGATCATCCGGAGTTTCGGAGTGCGATGTCATCTGTACGCGGATGATGTCCAACTCTGTCACTCCTTTCCACCTGCTACTAAGGAGGCTGTCGAGGTCCTGAACCGGTGCTTGGCCGCTGTGACGGTCTGGATGGGGGCGAACAAATTGAATCCAGACAAGACAGAGGTCCTACTGGTCAGTCGTAAGGCCGAACAGGGTATAGGGTTACAGCCTGTGCTGGATGGGGTTACACTCCCCCTGAAGACGCAGGTTCGCAGCTTGGGAGTGATCCTGGACTCATCGCTGAGCCTGGAACCCCAGGTTTTGGCGGTGACCAGGGGAGCATTTGCACAGTTAAAACTTGTGCGCCAACTGCGCCCGTACCTTGGGAAGTCTGACTTGGCCACGGTAGTCCACGCTCTGGTTACATCCCGTTTAGACTACTGCAACGCTCTCTACGTGGGGTTGCCTTTGAAGAGGCTCGGAAGCTCCAATTAGTCCAACGGTCGGCAGCCATGATACTAACAGGAGCGGAGCGCAGGGAGCATACAACTCCTCTGCTGCACCAGCTCCACTGGCTGCCGATTTGCTACCGGGCTCAATTCAAAGTGCTGGCGTTGGCCTTTAAAGCCCTAAACGGTTCTGGCCCAACCTACCTATCCGAACGTATCTCAGCCTATCAGCCCACCAGGACCCTAAGATCTTCTGGGGAGGCCCTGCTCTCTATCCCGCCTGCTTCACAGGTGCGGCTGGCGGGGACGAGAGACAGGGCCTTTTCTGTGGTGGCCCCTCGGCTATGGAACGCCCTTCCCATGGAGGTAAGATCAGCCCCCTCGCTGATGGTGTTCCGAAGAAGATTAAAAACCTGGATGTTCGGACAGGCATTTGGTTAATTCGGTGCAATGAATGTGATGATTAAGGATTGGTAATATGGACGACGAAACTGGATCACGATTTTAGTCAGGAGATGCATTGGATTGTTATTGATGTACCAATATTGTGTATTATGTTTTTATGGTTTTAAATTGTATACTGTTGACTATTGTATTTGGTATTTTGTTGTAAACCGCGTTGAGTCGCCAGCTAGGCTGAGAAACAGCGGTATACAAGTACAGTAAATAAATAAATAAATAAGTATAATATAATATAATGTCTATACATATAATACAGGTAATGCTACTAATAAAATATTATAATATTATTTATATTACATGTAATATTACTAATAATATTACAATATAATGGTGTTGTACAATATAGTTATATAATACTGATATTGTACTATGCTAATAATTTAATATATTGTATGTACATATATCTTGTAAGCAGCTCTGAATCCCCTTTGAGGTGAGCAGGGCAGCATATAAATGTCGTAAATAAATAAATAAAACATCAAACATCCAGGCATCCCCTGGGCAATTGGCAGACGGCCAAGTCTCTCACACTAGAAGCGACTTACAGTTTCTCAAGTCGCTCCTGACATGAAACAAAAAAAATGTGCACGGGCCTGATCGAATGGAAAGGCATGAGGGGGGAAAGTACATGGCCTGCTAGCCTTTGCACATAACAAGAAATCTCTTGACAGGGTTGTTGTAAGTTTACCGGGCTGTATGGTCATTTTCCAGAAGCATTCTCTCCTGACGTTTCACCTGCATCTATGGCAGACATCCTCAGAGGTTGTGAGGGCTGTTGGAAATCAGGCAAGTGGGGTTTATTTATCTGTGGAATGTCCAGGGTGGGAGAAAGAACTCTTGTCTGTTGGAGGCAAGTGTGAATGTTGCACCTTAATTGGTACTGAATGGCCTTGCAGCTTCAAAGCCTGGCTACTTCCTGCCTGGCAGAATCCTTTGCTGGAAGGTGTTAGCTGGGCCAGATTGTTTCCTATCTGGAATTTCTGTTTCAATTGGTCTCTTGACCTTGGCCACCTTGATTGGTACTGAATGGTCTTAAGCTTCAAAGCCTGGCTACTTCCTGCCTGGCAGAATCCTTTGTTGGAAGGTGTTAGCTGGGCCAGATTGTTTCCTATCTGGAATTTCTGTTTCAATTGGTCTCTTGACTTTGGCCACCTTGATTGGTACTGAATGGTCTTAAGCTTCAAAGCCTGGCTACTTCCTGCCTGGCAGAATCCTTTGTTGGAAGGTGTTAGCTGGGCCAGATTGTTTCGTATCTGGAATTTCTGTTTCAATTGGTCTCTTGACTTTCTCAAAAACTCGGGCACTCCACTCAGATGAAACCCTGTGCCTCCTCTTCCTCCTCTTAAGAGATCCAGACGTCACCACGACGCTTATCCCACATTAGGGGATTAGGGGAAAGGGGGAATTAAAACAAACAAACCAACCCCTGGATGGTGACAGAAAAGGCACGGAAAAAAAGTGATGCCGGCCAGGCGAGCCAGGGGAGCGGGAGGCAGGCGGCGTGGAGGAAGGGGCATAATGGCTCCACAGGTGACTCAGTCCCGAGCGTCAATAATGATTAAAGCCCGTCTGTGTTGACGTCAGAGTGTGGCCACGCCCCCTCCCCAGCGGCTGCTGACCTCAGCCAGGCCGTTTCCGCGTGGCCCCCTCGCCTGGAACCCCAACGCCCAATGGGGGCTCGGGGGCGGGGCTCGGGGGCGCGCGCCTGTCGCGTGGGGAGGGAGCGAGAGGGCGTGGCTAGCCGGGTGAGGCCGGGGAGTGCGCGGGGCGGGGCCAAGCAGGAGGGAGGCCGCGCGAGGGCGGCCGTTGGGGCCGAGGGGGCGTCTGCGCCTGCGCGCTGGCGGGTGCGTCAGCGGCAGGATGGCTGTTTCTGCTGGGCCGGCGGCAGGAGCGGCAGGAGCGGCAGCAGCAGCCTCCGGTGGCTTCGCGGCCCCGGCGGTGGCGGCTGTGGGACGGGAGGCGGGGGCGTAAGATGGCGGCGCTGCGGGAAGGGGGCCGGTACGGCGTGTCCTGCGGCAGGGTCACCCAAGACAACCTCACGGTGCTGCATGTCAAGCTCACCGAGACCGCCTTCCGAGCGCTGGAGAGTTACCAGGGGAGCAAGGTGAGGAGGAAGGGGCACCTTTTTGTCCCTCGCGGGTCGCCGTCAAGGAACCGATCTCGGATGGGAGGAGGAGGGGGACATAAAGTCTCAGAGTGCGTTTCGGCCGGGGAAAAAGAACAGGAAAGGGGTCAGGAGTTCTTGTAAAATGGAGGGACGCCGATCCTCGGGGCAGGAAAGGAGCCCAACTTGCCCCACACTTGGCCACCGGAGTCCGACGGAGGCGAATGACTGGTTTCCTGTCGAATCATAGAGTTGGAAGACACCCCAAGGGCTATCCAATCCCACCCCAGATTGCCACACAATCTAAGCACTCCAGGCAGATGGCCATCCAGCCTCTGCTTTGAAAAAACCCCAGAGGATGAGACTATGGGTCCTTCCACACAGCCTTATATCCCAGAACATCAAGACAGAAAATTCCACAATATCTGCTTTGAACTGGGTTATCTGAGTCCACAATCAGATAATGTGGGATTGCCTGCCTTGATGTTCTGGGATATAGGGCTGTGTGGAAGGGCCCATAGTTTCATCCTCTTGGGCTACTCTCAAATAGTTTTTGTTTTCCTGTCAGGAGTTTTTCCCCCTAATGTTTAAATTTATATTAATTGTATTGTATTGATTTTTTGTTATTGCTTTTGTTTATTGATGTACTGTGGGCTTGCCTTCATGTAAGCCGCGCCGAGTCCCTTGGGGAGATGGTAGTGGGGTATAAATAAAGTTTTATTATTATTATTATTATTATTATTATTATTATTATTATTCTGTTGTTTGAATCCATTGCTCCATCGAGAACAAGGTTCTCAATGTGTCATCCTTCCAGATGCTGCAAGTCGCATAATGCCAAGTTTTTAAAACTCTGTCTTTTAAACTACATGTTAGCTGTACCCTCAACTCGCTTCTGACACAATAAATATCCTTCCAGATATTTAAACATGGCTCGGGTTGTCCCCTTCTCTCAGCCTTCGTTTGTTTCTCTAAGGGCCCTTCCACACAGCCCTATATCCCACAATATCAAGGCAGAAAATCATACATCATCGGAGTGTGGACTCAGATAACCCAGTTCAAGCAGATATTGTGGGATTTTCTGCCTTGATATTCTGGGATATAGGGCTGTGTGAAAGGGCCCTTTGCTAAACATGCCCAGCTTCCTAAGCCGTCCCTTATAGAGTTTAGTTTCCAAACCTTCGACAGTCTCTGGACAAGTTCCAGCTTGTCCTCCCTGAATTGTGGTGCCTAGAACTGGGCACAGGATTCCAGGTGAAGTCTGACCCAAGAAGAATAGAGTGGGGCTATTGCCTCTCTTGATCTCAACAATATATTTCTATTTCTACTGCCTTGGCTTTTGTCAATGTTGCTGCTGTTGTCTAGGGTTCAGCTCAAGGTCTCCAGAGACTCCTAAATCACTTTTCGCATTCCCTGGCAGGACTCCCCTGAGTTACTTTTCCTCCCTTACTCCATATGGTTGAGACATGTCAGGCTGGGGGGGGGGGTGTCTTTTTAATACGAATTTAATACTATTTTTTTCACCCTTCCGCCCATAGCTCCCCTCCCCCTCCCCTTTTCAATCAGTTGCAAACAAGTTTTGTGGGGTAGAAGAAGCCCCTCCGCCCAATTTGCTTCTGTATCCTCAGGGAGGAGCCCTAACCTAAGAGGAGGGGGAGGGCGGCTGGTGCTGATATTTTTTTAATGGCATTTACACAAGAAAGTCATTTTTCTTGGTGCTGGTGCCAGCTAGTGCCTCTGGAGCTGGCCGTGACCGGAGCCAGCCGTTCCCAGATGAGGCAAATTCTGCTGAGCTGTCATTTATTTATGGGCTTAGTTTTTCTCCCTTGCTGCTCTCTCTCTCACACACACACTCACTCTGGGATTGTATGTGAGCTGGACACACACACACGACTGAGTTGTATGTGTCTGGGGGGAGGGGAGGTGTCAACTTTTCAGGCTTTTGTTTTTTTCCTGAAAGTTGGATTTAACTTGAGTTTTTAAGCGACAATGGCAACTATGACAGATTTATTGCACATCTTTATAAGGCTGTCAGGAAAACTGTTTTTCTTCCACCCAACTTTAGTCTTGGATAGTCCCACCCCTACCCCTTTGCCTTCTCTTCCCATCCCTACCAGATGTCCTGTAAGAAATTGTGTTAGGGCTTCTTCTAGAGATTGTAGTGGTGTTTTTCAACATAATATGAATTAATGTAAACTCTTTTAAACATTTTAATGCATTTATAAAATTTGAAAACAATAAACAGTAGGACAAAACTTGTTAAATCTTGGATATATTGGTCAAGGAAGGATACATGAGAGTGCAGAAGAATGCAGTGGGCTTTGTTTTTTTTACCATTTTCCTTATTGTTGCATTTCAGTGGAAACTTGAGCCTTAGCTTGTGTTTGTTCAAGGCATGTTAAAAGTGGCTGTGTCCTGTTCTGAGTCCTGGCAAAGGAGGATTAAGGCTCTAATTAGCTGGTGTCTTAATGTGGAATTTCAAGTTTAATTTTGCTTCCCTTTTGACCTAAGCTCTTTTTGTTAATTTGATTTTCTCTGCTGTTGTTAGAAATCTTGAAGAATTGCTGTTTTAAGGTAACAACCCATCGTTTTGTACACTAGCAGGCTTTTCTTCAAAAGGCTTTCCTTGAAATGGTTCAAGAAGCTGTCGATAAGACAGGAACATGCTCAGACCAGACAGAATTTAAATAACAGGTTGACAAACAGCAGACACTCTCCTTGGTCACAGCATTGCTTCCCCTGTGCCCTTTTTCATGCAGAAAGATGACTCAGACATGGTTTTCCCAGAATTGACCTCCAAATTGTGCCTTTTCCTATGACTAATGGTTGCTTTTCATAATAACTGGGTAAAGCTAAAAGAGAGTTCTAGTCTTTCTGGCCTAACTTTGCATTTCTGTTAGATATTCAACAGAGTATAGCCATTCTGCATTTTGTACTGCATAATTATGTAGTACACCAGCTCTTTCTCTTGTAAAACCTGCGCGGAAATCATTACCTTGGCCAAAGATCCTTAGAAATCAACATGAAATTTTAGCTTTCCACTGCATATGGTTGTTGAGATGTGAAATTGCAGCTCTTGCTTGGTTTTAAAAAGGACATACATTTTGAGTCAAAATGCTCAACAAAGACAAGTGATCACTAAAGTTTAAATAAATTATTAGCAATAGTTTCCCCCCCTCTCTATATATACATACACATACACTCTTAAACACATACAAAAACTAGGTTAAACGGAATGCAATTATGGTGCTTAATAGAGTCTTGAATCTATGAGTTAAAACTTCACAAAAATTCCTGTGCTGCAGCAACATTGCTTATTTTCTAGTTAAAAGTGATTGACACGTTTGTGAAGGTTTAAAATGCTCATTTTTAAATATTGTGCTTTTCCTGCATGGTAGGGGTGGGGGCTGGACTAGATAGCCCATGTGGTGGTATCTTTCAACTCTATTATTCTGTGTTTTTATGAACTACATATTGACTTTTTGGATCACTCAGTTGTACAAAATCATGTTGTCTGAAGCTGCAATAATTTACATAGAAATTTCAGATAAAATTTACTGCATATAAAATGTAACTTCCTCCCGCAAAATAATTTAATTTAGAGTTTTATTGTATAGTATCTTATAAGAGTTACATTTTTACGTTGTATTTGTGTGTACATTTATATTTACCTCCATGCATTTGTACATGTGCATGCATATATATGTATATACCCATCTAATGTACCCTAAAACTAATGGTGCTGTTAGCATGATATTTTAAAGTTTGTACCGTTCTTAGTTTGAGAGCTTTTGAAAATAAATGTGTCTTAGAGGAAAAGTAATTGTGATTGCTAAAGAAAATCGAATGTTGTCATCTTGAAAGGAAGAGGTTATCAGAAAACATGATTTAGAACTTAGAATGGCATAAACTGTACCATGTTTGCAGTCCTTTCTACACTTGGCAACCAATCCTATGGAAATTGCTGGAGTTCTCTTCTGCACAAGCATATTATTTCTCATTATTTAATATATCTTGCATATAAATGCATGAAATTGTAATGTAATTTGAAGTATCTCTCTGTGGGATAAACAACTGCCTGAACTGAATGAGATACTTAAAATGTCCAATATCACTGCTATTTTCTTTGTGTCATAAGGTGCCCTTGAATGCAAAGTGAGTTCTCAAATGAAAAGAACTTGCACATCATTTGAACAATTACTTATGGCATCTTTAATTAGCTCTAAAAAGTGACATATTTGTTTTGAGAGAATTGAACTTTTTGCATTAGCAATCTGCATCAGCCTTTTTATTGGCAATCTTCCTAATTTCAGCAGGAAAATATATTTAATCAAGTAGGGAACTAGAAGGCACAGAGAATGATTTTTTTAAGTATGATTGGAACAGGAGCTGACTTGATACTATTGAAGTGAGAAATACATGAATGATTTCCTGTGTATTAATGAAAGAATAACAAGAGACCATATGGACACTGGAGCTATACATTTGCTATAGTTGTAGGTTAAATGTTATTAATACCTATGACCTAGAATAAGTATATGTTTGCAAAAGCATCAGGTATTGACAGCATCAATAATGCCTCTGTAAACTTAATCCATACTGCTCCAGTGATTTAAGAAACAGTATTTTTCCAGTGTTTATAGCCTTAAAGTTAATGTCAATGAGAACCTCTCACTTCGTAATAAATTAATCATTTATAAATACTATAAACATTTTTGGCAAATACTTCCCTCATTTCCTGGAGAAAGTGCTGTGCCTCCCCCCCCTCCCCCCCACACACACACACATGAACCACTCTAGAGGCTTCTAATATTACCATCAGGGCATAATTTGAACCGGAATACAATGTACTGTTATATCACCTATATGATAAAACTGTTTATGGTACAAACATACTTCAGACCTTTTGTATTATTTGATTTTTGACGTCTATCATTTATTCTTTAAAACATCTGAGAATTAAAATGAAAATTATTTTCTCCCCTTAGCCATTCTAGTAA